CCCCAAAACCCCAAAACCCCAAAACCCCGAATGTGAAGATATTGAAAATCTTGCAAATATTCAATTCTTGATTTATTAAATTGGAAATTATATACTAATAATATTATATATTGATAAATATTTAAAATGAGCGCTGCTGAATAGTGGATTGAGATAAAAAACGAAAGAGGGGAGATAATATATTTCAACAAAATAGTAATCAGCTTTAATCTATTAGACCTTATTCAATATCTATCTATAGAGTGGAATCACCATGCAGGAAAAGCCTCTTGCTCTTCGATAGCAAGAGATGGATAGTGTTATCAGAGGAGGATAAAAGAGCTATGGGAATGGAGATTAAAGTCATAAAATCTCCAAGGATGAAGATCTTACTTCCCTATTTGCTTAAAGGAATCTGAACCTACCAAAGACGATGTCTGGTTCAGGGTAGAGCTCAGGCTAAAGTTATAATCAACCAAATAAACAGTAGCAGTTAACTCCTTAGCAATAATAGTAGAATTCGTACAACTAAATTAATCCAGGTGCTTACACTTAAATGATTTCTGGAGACTCATCTCTAAGCTTAGATCCTGCTGCTTAATACATGAAGAAAGCCCTTGACACTGCATTAAAAGGAGATATTGTAAGAGATATATATCCGACATTAAACTATTTCAGAACTGAGGAAAAATAATGTAAGTTGAAATATTCCTTATTTGCTTATCTCTTACCTACCAATCACGTTAATTTTCGGTAATAACTTGTTTTAATTTATAGCTGATGTTAAAAGGTTCAAAAATTATGACAACCTGAGCAAAGAAGATGCAGTCATGGTCTTTTAAGAAGCTTTAAGAGAAGCTGGAGTGACAGCTTCATGGAAATGGGAGGATGCTAATAGAGTTGTGATGCATGATCCCAGAATCAAAGCCATTAAAACTATAAGTGAGCGTAAATAAGCTTTCAATGATTTTGTCAATGAGATCAAGACTAAGGAGAGAAACGATGCCAGAACTAGAAGATAGTAGGTGAGTTTCATATCAAGTTAAATTTGGAAAATATCCTAATTATTTTTTAGCAAAAAGAGGGATTTCTTGAGCTGTTAAAGGCAACTAAGGGCTTGCAAAGTTTAAGTAAGTTTTACTAAGTCGCTAAAACTATGCAAAACGATCCAAGATTCAAGAATATTGAGGATAAGGATCGAGAGGAAATATTCTAGGATTATCTAGATGAGCTGATGAACAAGGAAAGGGAGGAAAAAAGAGAGTAAACGTAAGCAAATTTATTTGAATTAACAAGTAATATAGTGAAAAGACCATTGAAAAACTCAAGGAATAGTTTGCTAAGCTAAACATCCCAGTTTCTAGTAAATGGAAGGAAATAGAGCAGGAGTTATAAGAAGATCCTGTATTTAGCAAAGCTGAATCACTTGAACAAATATCGTAGGAATAATTAATATACAACAAAATTCTATTTAGTGCCTATGAAGAGTATATTAAGGCTTTGGAAAGATAGGAGTTCTAATAGAAGAAACTAGAGAAGAGGCGATAGGAGAGAAAGAACAGAGAGAATTTTGTAAAACTTTTAGAAGAAAAACTTCAATCTAGAGAGTTATCCCATCGAACAAAATTCAGACAATTTGTTAAGCTGCACAAAGATGACCCTAGATACTTTAACTTAGTTGGTTAGCCTGGCTCAAATGCTCATGAACTATTTGAGGATATCATCAATGAAGAGAAAGACTTATTGAAAATTCACAAGCCTCCTTTTAAGAGTCTAATCAAGGTAATTGCAATTTTCTAATTAGTATTATAGAGTAAGGGCATTAAATTTCCAACAAATGTATAATTTGATGCATTTGATTAGCAGTTAAATTAATATCCTGAGTATTCATAACTTAGTCAAAAAGCCAAAGTTATTCTGCATGAGTACTATCTCTATAAAGTTAAACAGAAGTAAGATTTTCTACTTAATATATCTACTTACTGCTGTTTAATACATTTTCTGTTCATATTTATCAACTTTTATTAAGGGAATAGGAAAAAGCACGCAAAGTTGCTAAATTTCAAAAGAATTTTGAAAAATACTTGAAGAACATTATTAATCTGAATAAGTCATCAGATTACAGCGACTACCGTTAATAGATTGAGAGATAAAGTGATTTTGATTCCCTTAATGATGAGCTTAAATAAAAATCATTTAATGAAGTGGTAACATACCTTAAAGAAGAATAAGTAAGTTACATATTAATTGTCTTGTTGCATTGATTAATAACACAATTCTATTTATAGACGAAAAAATCAAAGAAGAGAAGCAGAAGTAGAGGCAAAAAAAGTAGTCGCGACAGTTCAGTTGAATCTGGTGAGGTAAAAACCTCCAATACTAATCATAGCGGTGGAAATCATCACAAGCATGGCAAGTCTAAATCGCCTAGGTCAAAGGATAGAAATGGTTAGTATTCCGCATTTCTTCAAATTTCTTATCAAAATCCTAATATTCAATTTCTTAAAATTTCGTTTAGCTGATAAAAATGGGCATGATAGTGACAATGACAGAAATAGTAGATTAAACAAAAGTGAGAGTAAGAGAAAACTTAGTGGCGGGGACAAGGATAGGAAACATCATAGTCCCTCTGGTAGTCAGCAAAGAAAGAAGAAGTATCACTGATTCTGATTAGTCCCTAATTAATTTAAATCAAAACTGGATCTTTAAAATTATAATTATTAATTGTATTAAATAATGAAAAGCATTATCGCCATTACTCTCTTAGTAGCCTTAGTTTCAGTTGACGCCAAATTCCCAAACAAGCCACCTGCACCTGCACCTACATCAGCTCCACCTACTCCAACTGAAAATCCAATCTCTGACAAAAAGACTAAACCAGTCGGACCAGAATTGAAAGATCCAATTCCTGTTATCGTCTTTGAAGGAATAAGAGGAGCATGGCAAGGTCTCCAACATGGAATCTTCAAGACCAAGGATAGCGGTGATCAATGCCTTAACGATGATGTTTCAGCCAAGATTGATAACGTTCTCATCGCTCTTTCAGCAATGGATGTCAACAAACTCAGCCTTATGGTTGGAGACATTATGAGCATTGTTGGAAATCTCCAAAAGTGCAACGTCAATGCATTTGTTGACCTAGAAAAATTCTGCCAAGCCAACCCAACTAACTGTTCACCAGCTCAATTGACTACTAACGCACAAAAGAACATGTTTGTCCTCATTGGAAAGATTACTGATCTCTCACAAGTCCTCCAAGAGAACCATCCAAAGACTGCTCATGATGTTTACAACTTGACATACAAAATCGCTGATGATCTCGGTAACCTTATGAGAGTTCTTCTTAACTTCGACGAGAAAGCAAAGAGATTGGCCCTCAAGCACTGAGTTCAAACTCACTCGCGAGTCCTATACTGATCTCACCCTACTCAAATATGAATAATAATTATCTTAATATTTTAAAACATATATCTATCTTCAATCTATCTAAGCTCTCATTCCAAATTATTGATCAAGTCGGTAATTCTATCGAAGTGGCCCTCAATGCTAATTTTCAAAGCATCTCTTCCCGAAAGATGGCTTCTTATTTTATGATCTGCTCCTATCTCCTTACTTATTAAATATTTCACACAGTCTACTGATCCCACTTGACATGCATACATTAAAGGAGTATAGCCAGTAAGCTGGCATATTGAATTCACCTCTACATTCTAATCCATAATAAGAGTCTTGACCATTTCAATCCTACTGAATTCACATGCCAGATGAAGTGGAGTATAAAAATTCTTGTTGAACTTATCATGCGCCAGAGTTGAATCTTAACTCAGTAAATACATAAATAACTCCATGTCATTAGTTTTTATTGCCTGCTTCATTAAGTCTTAGTTGACTTTTCTATCCTTTAGCATCATATTTGAAGGTTTTATCTATTTTGTAGAAAATCAAATTTTTCTGCAAACTATCTAACAAACTTGTTATAAATATTTTAAATTTAAATTTAATGGAGGCATCTCAAGATAAATATTAAAGTTCTGCAATTAAACAGTAATCTGTAATTCAAGATGACCATACAGCTGCTGGTGAAACTTCTTAGCTATATGAGGAACTAAAGGTTAGTAAATCAATGAAACTAATTTCTGAATAGATGATAGCTGGGAGTGCAGATTATATTGGGTCTATATCAGTAGTGGAAACTATGTTCAACCGCATTAATAATGTTATTGATCTGAGATATGTCCATAATCTTATTGAATTAACTCGTAAGTTGATTATCTTTTTTTTATCAAAATATGTTTTAGTTATTGGTACATTGACTACAAGCTTATAAGGGATTGAGACTCAGGGACACTCCCTAGAAATACTAAATGTAACCAATTGTAATCTGACTAGGATTGAGAGTTACTTCTTAAAGCTTGGTAATTTAAAGCATCTTAATTTAGGCGAGAACTAGATATCCTAGATAGAGAATCTTCAACAGTAAAGTTTTTTTTAACTAATTTGACTTATTTTCTAGTTGCATTTAATTAGAAAAAGCATTTTTGTTCAGCAATTAGATTAGGAAAATAGAGGGACTTGACAACAATTTGGCTTTAAAAGAATTGCATCTTCAGGATAATCAAATTAAAAAAGTCGATAATGTTTCAAGACTGGTTTCCCTTTAAACACTTCTCCTTTCTTAAAATCCGATCGAAAGTTTAGATTAGTTAAGCGAGATTTCAAAGCTTCCTAATCTTAGATAGCTCAGTTTCAAATGTGAGCATTTTGATCCATGTCCTGTATCAGAGCTCAGTGGGTATAAAAACTATGTACTGAGTACTGTACTTCAGAAGGATAAGCTATAGAAATTAGATTGTGATAAAGTAGATTAAGGAGATTTCCAAGCAGCTTAGAGTGAATTTATGGAATAGATACTCAAATTGCAAGAAAATTTATAAGAAATAGAAAATGAGCATAGACATTAGTTATATATGATAGATTCAAAAGAAAAAGAGAATGAGGATCATCTTAGAAAAATGTAAAAGGAAATACTGATTGAACTTGATAATCTTAAGATAGAGGTCAATGAAGGTAGGAGTAAAATTATGGAGGAGATTGATCGGTATAAGATAATAAGAGAAGAAGCATTTGAATAATTAAAAACTGACTTTGAAAGTCTAAGAGATTAACTTGACAAAAAGGTTTAAAAGATTGTTAAGCATTAAGAGTCTCAACAAAATTTTCATTAAGTTAGATGCTAATAAGAAATAGAAGCACTAGAATATGAGAAGCAAATCAATCTCGGATTAATAGATATCTTATATGAATCATAAGGACAAGTCATATTCAACGAACTATCAAAGGAATCTCTAGATTTTAAGTTATTCAAAGATATAGCAGAGTAAAACAGCTCTTAAGAAACAATGGTTATTGGCAGTTAGCCCTATCTAACATATCTAAATCAATTAGAAAAGGAGTAAAATTAAGTGTAAACTATACCTACAAGTCAACAGTAACAGAAAAGAAAAAATTCTGCTACTAATAAGGGTAATCAAAAGCAAATTGATCTATAACAGTTGTAGAAGTAATATGAGTCTATTATAGATTTAAGGAAAGTATTCTAAATCAATGAGTAAAAGAAATCAGTACATCGATTTAGCAACAATCAAAGATACTTCATAAAAGTTGATGATAGTTCACAGATGAAGGAGTACCTGAATGGAATATTATCAGAAAAATCTCTGAAGATTCACAAACAAATCAATAAATGCATGGTGAATTAAGACAAAGAGAACATATCAAGTGAAGGAGTAGTGAGTTTAAATCAAGCTGTACTTATCATTAAACTGTAGACTGATTTATCCGCTAAGTTCCAAAATGTAAACTTATAATGGAATATCATATTTTAACAATAGGAAATCAATATGATCCAGCATGTTGAAAGTACAAGAGATGCTAGTTTATTTATGATTGAGGCTGTAGTAGTTCTGAATTGTTTGTACGCTCGAGCTAACTTTGATTAAATCATAAAGCAATCAAAGTCGATAGATAATTTCTTAATTGATTTACTAACTAATTATTCAAACAAAATGGTAAATTTTTTATTTTTTCTTTAATAGATTTAGGATATGAAACTTAATCTGTTTGAAAAGCAAGCTCATTAAAAATATATCGAAATGGAAAAGAGAATTTGGGGTGAGATGGATGGGTAGTAGATACTACTCTACTAAAACTAATCTTAAGAGATTACCAAACTAAGGGATGAAGCACATCAGCTATAACAAATGATAGATAAAGAAAGAAATAGCCAAGAAGCTGTTATGAAGGAATTGAGAATGAATATATGAAATCAAGAAGTATCTTTTCTAAGCTAAACGGTTAACTCAAAATTAATATAATTATTTAATCTTAATTTCTTTAAATTGAAGTTTGGGAAGCATCACGGGGTTTTGGGGTTTTGGGGTTTAGCTTAGAAAAGATAC